CCCTCCCCCCCTCCCGCCGGGCCGCCGCCTGTTTGGTTGGGACGTCGCCCCCTGCTCGAGGTAGTCCCGGAGGATTTACATCCCCCTGCCGGATCTGGAAGCGCGGGTCCAGTGCATCAGTCGCATCCTGCAATCCAATGCCACCGCGCGACACGCCATGTCCCCGAGCGATGTGCGCGAGTGCGCGCGCCTCACGGAGGGCTACTCGCCGGCGGATCTGGCCCAGCTGTGCAAGGAGGCCGCCATGCTGCCCATTCGCGAGCTCGGCAGCCGGGTGCAATCTGTCCGGGCAAATGATGTGCGTCTCGGCGCGCATGTGCTGGCGCTGCTCGAATTCCCCTCACCCCCGCTCGCTTTGGTCTAACTCCCTTCGGACCCGTGGCTCCCGTCTCCCAGGTCCGGCCGATTGGGCTGCAGGACTTCCGGTCAGCCCTGGCGCGCATCCGGCCCACCGTGTCACCGGGGTCCCTGCGCGATTTGGAGCGCTTTGACAGGGAGTTTGGATCCTACTCCCAGGGGGACATTTAGCATCGGCGCCCCCCCCCCCCCCCTGTGCATATGCTTGTTCCGGGGCCATGTCCCTGCCGTGTTGGCCCGGCTTCCTTGCCTCCCCTCCCTTCCTTGCTGCCTTCCTTCTCGCCGCTGCCGCTCTGCCCCGGTTCGAGCGAATATATAGAGCCGGGGCGACCGTCGAGTACTCTTTCTTTTTCCTGTGTTTATTTTTTCTCGATCCCGCGCCTCCTCCATCCCCACTCCAGCGGCGGAGGAGCACGAGGCATCGACTGCGAGCAGGGGGCGGCGGCGCGGGGCCGGACAGAGGGGCTCCACACCGGGCACACGTGCGCACACATGCCGGCACCATGTTCACAGTGTGGCCGTCTCGTAGTACGAGTTTCGCCAGACAGCCAGGTAGTCCTGCACAAGGCCTGCGCCGTGGGGATGGCCATCGTCCATTTGCCGGCCGACGGATGTGCGTGTCAGTCGGGCCCCCGGCCATGGGTCGCGGTGGCATGGCGAGGGGATCATCGGCGGACGCACCTCCGGTGAAGCCAATCAGCGGCTTGTCCGACAGCCAGGCGCCCAGCGATGAGAGGGCCGATCTGAGGCCGGTTCGAGTGCGATGGATGTGTGATGGATGTGTGTGTGTGTGTGTGCGTGGCGGGGGTCAGGATCAGAGGGAGCTGAGGGCGAACGGGCGAGCGAACAAGCGAACGAGCAAAAGAGAGCAAGCCCAGCGGGGCGTGTGGCAATGCGCCCTGGCACCGGCGGCGCACCCTATTCCCGAGCTGAAGGCCGGCTCGCGGAGCAGCCACCAAATGAGCCGGCCCTGGCGGTCGTCCAGCTCCTGGCGCTCGGCCTCCGAGTATCGGATGTCGCGCGCGTCCCACCCGGGCACAAGGGCATCCAGGCCGTTGGACACCGGCTCCGGGAGGGGAACCCCCCCGGACGCGGGGAACCCCAAGCGTTGGAAGAAGGTCCGGAGCAGGGCCACCAGATGCCCGAGGCTGCCGGCATCGGCGAACCCTCCACGCCCGGCCCCCGCGCGGTACCGGTGCACCAGCAGGCAGGACACTTCCAGCAGGGCTGACAGGGCCCACGCCTGCCAGAGGGCCGATCGCCGGCCGCCGGCCGACCGCCGGCCCAGCGACCGAGTCATCAGGGCCACGTACAGCAGCGGGCGCAGGGCATGCAGCACCTCGATCACCAGGCCGAAGGTGTCCAGCCGCCGGCCGGCAGGGCCGCCGCATGTCGGGCGCGCCAGCGAATCGTTGACCGGCTCGCACCGGGCCAGCTCTTTGAGGTACCGGCGGCCGGTGTCGCCGCCGAGACCCCCGGCGGCCGGGGGTTCCTCGCCCAGGGCCCCGGGCGATGGGGGGCCCTTGAACACGGGAAACACCCGGCCTGTGCGGCTGCCCCGCCAGAAGGACACACCACCCGGGCCGGGGGAGATTGAGCCGGCGTCGGCGGGCTTGGCGCCGGGGGCCGCCGGGGCGGCGCCCACTTCGACGGCCGCCGCACGGGCCTTGGCGCGATCGGTTTCCGGCACCAGCGACTGCGTAAGTAGCATGCGCCGCCGAGTGAAAAGGGCATACAGCCTGCAAAAGGCCCTGTCATGTGCGATTGTCATGTCAATGTGCCTTGCCGGCGTGGGGGCACGCACTGGTGCGAGGCAAATGCACCCGAGCAGTCGGCCCATAGCCCGACATGAGGGTGTGCGTGTGTGTGCGTGTGTGTGTGTGTGTGTGCGCGCGCCATCGGCCGAATGTGACCACGCACTTGACCACCTCAAAGGTGAGGATCAGACTCCAGCGCCAGGATCGCGGCCGGGCCAGGGTCTGTTGCAGGGGCTGGCCGGCGGTTCGGTCGACGCTGGCGCCGAAGAGCTCGGCCGACAGCTGCAGCTGCTTCAGCACCTCCAGCAGGTAGGACGCAAAGCGATACACCTGCGCCGATCGGGGGGCGGCCGCCGGGGCGGTGCCGGCATCCGGCGAGGCGGACGCAGACGCCGGCGTCCTGGCCGGCTCAATGTCCCGGGTAAGGGTGCGCGCGCGGGGGTCGGCCGGGACGTATCGGCCGCCGGCCGCCTGGCGGAGGCCATAGTCATACAAGACCGAGTGCAGTCCGGGCAGGGCGTGACCTGGTTCGCGGGTCGAGAGGATGAGGTGGTTGGTGACGCACATCGAGAGAGCGGGCGGCCGCATGGTGTGTATGTATGTGTGTGCGTGTGTGTGTGTGTGTGTGCAGCAGGGAAGGGGGGGAGGACGGTGAGAGGCGGGCTACGCACACACTTGGGACACGGTCTCCCGTGCGGGGATCCACGCGGGCACCGAGTAGGCGAAGAGGTGGACACCGCGCTCGATGTTAGTCACCAGGCCGGGGTCCAGGTGCAGCACGGCATCCAGATACTGGGACCCAAGCTGGCGCGTGGTCGAGACCACGGAGGCGGCCGCGGCGGTGAGGGTCCGGCCCACGGCGGTCATGCCATCTGGCGGGGTGGGGCCAGGGCCCGGGGACTCGGCGATCGAGGCGACCGGCGGGACAGGAGTGTCATCCTGGGCCGCTTCCGGCCAGTCGTCGACGGCTGGGCGCTCGGCCGAGCGATCGGGCCTAGTCTTCGTGGCCATGGCTGTGTGTGTGTGGGGGG